TTATAGTAAGGTTTGAGATTAGGAAAGATGTCCACCAGGATCTGTTTAGAAAGATGGGCTAATCTAAAGAGCTGGGTTTAACAGACCTCAGCAGTATGATGCTCTGCAAGTCTTGCTAATAATTCATTTTGATTTGTGTTGAGGCAGATGGACATCTAATGGCTGCAGGAAGTGGTTTGAAGCTTTTTAGAGCTGCTTCATACGGATATAACGTTTTGTGAGACGCTGGATGCCAGTTCTGACTTGAGCCCCAACCTGTCTGCTGTGTTTATGTTACTAAGGAACCCTATGAGATCTTCAAAGGAAATATAGATTTTATAGAAGGTTAAATTACACAGGATATGTGAAGAAGAGAGATACAGTAAGGGAGCACGTCTTTGGTTTATATGTAAGAGATTAAAATAATTATAGATATTTTTCTAATTTACAGCTCTGTTCTTTTCTGCTTTGTGTTGATTTAACACTTAAGATTATAATACATTACATTTAAAATTTTAGCTATAAAGAAAAAAGCAAATAAGAATCTTAAGATGATTTTTGTATTAATGCAAGAATGTAGTTCAAATTTCAATGTAAAATTATTTTACAGATTATTTGAACTAAATCTATTCAGATAGCTTTAAAGCCCCATCCCCGTTAAGACCAGGCTAAAACTGTAGCCTGACATGTGAAACCAACAAAGGAAATAGCAGGAAGTCATGGCTGAAAGCCCCTGGTTCTTCATCATTCCTTTATGTCTTCAGAAATTACATTTCAAAAGATCAATAAAAGTTTTAACAAACCAATATGAGAGGAAAATGACTCCTTATCACTTAGCTGTTTTTCATTTGACGTAATCCATCAAACGCATGTAGTCGATAGAGCGATATACATTAAACCAAAAATTTTGGGTGTTTTTGGTCAACGCATCACTACCATCTCTACTGGGAAAACTCGTTATTCCTCCCTGTTTGAAAAAACAAAGTTTAAAAATATGTTTTATTTGCTCTGAAATGTTTTTTCTGGGTTCAATTTTAGGTTGAGGAAAATAGCCTCAGACCATCTTTACATGTTCTTTCCTAAACCCTAATTTGCAGTGAATTATTTATATCTTTTTTAAATTACAATAAAATGAATCTCTTAATTTGACCAGTATGCCAAGCCTGCCTACGGTCCAGTAGTAGAAAAATGGAAATTCTTTAAAGTTTTTAACCAATCCACAGAACATGCAGATCATTAGTTCCATGAGCTTTTCAATATGGCCGACCCTGCAGAGGACAGAGAAAGGAGCTAATCGGAGCCCCTGGCTTCTGTCCAGGGTTTGTTTCAAACTGCTGCACAGCTTTCTGCATATTTTTAACAATTTATCCTCCAGTCAACTAGGTGATAAATAATTTTTTGCTCCATTATTGGAAATAAACAAAACAGGTAACAATAAGCTATAAAAATTAATCTGATTTATTAGTCAAATTAAGCTACATTATACATACATAACTTACTGATTGTTCTCATCAAACGCTGCGCTGAGGCTGCAGACTTGCCTCCGGTACCCAGACTTTGTAGAATGAGAGGCAGATATTTCAATCACCTCCCAATGTTTGCTGGTGAGGAACACTCAATCTCAACTATTTACACACTCAAAACATTCATTTTGATCTTTTGCACTAGATGATTTTTCTAAGAAATTTAATTTTAATATGGTTTTCTTTATCAGCTGTAAAACAGTGCTGTGTGTGATTAACCTATGATTTATACCCGGTTAGCTTTGTTCATAGTTGTCACTGCCATAATTTTGCATTGCATGGATTTAACATGGCTTGAGAAATTTCTCCTCAAAGATGTTGGTCTATATTGATATGATCACATCAGACATTTTCTGCTAATCTTTTCTCAGCACATCAACCACATCTAAAATGACAGATGTAGTGAGCGCTAAATGCACAGCCCTTTAAAATAACCACTAGGATAACAGCTTTACAATAAGTAAAAGAAAAGAAAAATAACAAGGATTTAAAATGCATTGGGAATATAAGCAACAGAAAAATAAAAAAGAAAGTGATGTATAAAAAAAATGTTGAAGAGACCAGTTTAAGGTGATTTGAACTTTTTGTGTATGATCCTGTCGAGGGACCAAAACCAGGCCAACAATTACCTTAATGACTCTCCTTTTCAGACGCATAGGCCAGTATCGGGTTTTGCAGGCCAACAAAGACCTCAACGACTCCCTATTACTAAGGGGTGGACCTGTTCTTCTGTTTCAATTTGCATGTTTTCTGAGACTTAGATTTTATTTGTCATGTTGTACACACAAGTGTAAACAAAAAGAAATTTCATTAAATATAGCTCTCTAGACTATTTCATTTTTTTTAGAGTGCAGCCTTGATAAGATAAGCAGCAGTGATACAAACATTGTGATGAAAAAAAGTGATGTAAACATATGACTGTATAGTTACAGTTCTAACATTCATTTTTTTTTTTTATAACCCATTTTACATAGCATTCAGCAGTCTAATGGCAGTGGGGAAGAAACTGTTCTGGAATCTGCTGGACCTGCATCGGATGCTTTGAAGCCTCTTCCCAGAGGGCAGCAGGGAGAACAGTCCATGGTGGGGGTGTGAGGGGCCATTTATGATGTTACAGGCTCGGGACACGCAGCGCTTGGATGAAATGTCTTTAATAGAGGGAAGAGGAGCCCTGATGATCCTCTCTGCTGTCCTCACCACTATTCTCACTTTCTTCCAGTCTGAGGTGCTGCAGCCTCCACACCAAACAGTGAGACAGCTGGTCAGAACGCTCTCTATGGTGCTTCTGTAGAAGGTGGCGAGGATGGGTGGGGGCAGGTGGGCTCTCCTCATCCTCTGCAGGAAGTACAAGAGCTTTTGTGCCCTTTTGACCAGTGAGGTAGTGTTTACAGTCCAGGTGAGGGTATCTGTGATGTGCACCCCCAGGAATTTGGTGCTGCTGACCACCTCTACAGCTGAGCTGTTGATGACCAGTGGAGCGTGGTTAGACCGGTTCTTCTTCGTCTTCTCCACGTTCAGTATCAGGCTGTTATCTTTGCACCTATCCACCAGCTGCTCCACCTCTTCTCTGTTGTTCTGGTCGTTGTCGTCACTGATGAGGCCCACCACCACTAAGCCATAACAAGGCTTTGTTAGGCTACTCTATAAAGCTTGGAACTCAATGCAGCGTCTTCAAAATTGGAAAACTAGTCCAGTGGTTTGTTTTGTAACTTTTAAAAAAAACATTTTTGGGAAAAACATTATAGGGAGTTAACGAGATGAGAATATAAAGATCAAAACTAAACTAGAAAGCTAAACATTGAACAAAAATAAACAATGGAAATGAACTTATGGCAAAACCTGAATAGACACAATAAACAAAATAATGAAAAACCTAGTAAAAACCAAAAACATGTGTTAAAATCTTGAGATATATTTTATTATCTCTTCTGTTAAAGATAGGCTTTGTGTATGCACCTTGATGCTCTTTCTCTCTGATTCTTTTCCCTGAAAAGAGATCACTTCATAACTTATATGTATTAAATAACCAGGAGGCATGACAACAGATTCTGATAGAAATTGTAATCTTACTCAGATCAGAGAAGTTGCTTAGAGTTTACAGAAGGCAGCTGCTCACCTCTCAGGAAGTGGTTCCAATTAACAGTTAAAAAGGCATTTTATACATCTCCAGTCTGCCACATCATCTTATTTTATATCATACACGTTAGCAGATGATTAGACATCCATGACTCAAGCCTTATAAAAATATTACACTTTGTTCTTAGATGTAGGATACCGCTCTCATTCCATTTCCAAATCTTTGCCACTTACAGAATAAAGATTATAACTGTATATCCAAACAGATGAACTGTCTGAATTAGATAAAAACATTAGTTCTGACCAGTGACGTGCGGTGAGGTTCATAGCTGGTGAGGCACTGACGTCATCAGAATCAGATTTGCAAATAGATGCATAGATTGACAGCAGTTTACAGGTTATGTTTCACTTCTGCATCCTTACACATACAAACTGTAGCTCACAAAACACACATTTCCTTAAAAAACAAAACAAAATAAATGTTATTACTGTCTTACCTTTACTTATAAATGAATAGAAGTCCTCCTTATCTTCCTTCAGTTTTAAAAGTCTCTCTGTCTCAATGGAGATCACTGCCAGGGAAGAAAGCCTTCCTTGATCCGTCCTGTTCCTGCCTTATGTTTTCAGTCTCTTGAGCACCCCCTGCCATGAGGCAAGAGAACTGCCTGCCTCACCTCGAACTTGTTCTCTGCCGTTTATAATCGCTCATTACACGAAACACGTTACACAAACACAGTTGGTGACAAAAAGCTCTGTACATTATATACATAAGCCAAATTATTAGAAATAAGTTCACATATTACATTTGTTTAAACCATTTTATTGACGCCGTACAGCAACATGCTCTCTCCGCTTTGCAGCCAGCGCAGAGCCAGGGGTTGCGCAATCCAAGGTGAGGCAGAGCTCGCTGCTGCCTCACCGGCATCGCTTCCAAGCATTTGAATGGGAAAATAAGAAAATTCAGCGATTTTGAACAAATAAAAATCGAAATTGGTGAAGCTACATGAAAAATGAATATTTTTTAGTACAAACCACCGGATGAATATAACAATTTAAATTACTTTATGATTATATATTTTCTTTCTTTCCATGATGGCTGGTGAGGCACTGCCTCACCTGCCTCCCCTGACCGCACGTCACTGGTTCTGACACACAACAGGCAGCCAATACCAAGGTGTAATAAACTCACATCATCAATGATAATTATCCTAACACTTCCCAGTTCAATTGCTGCAATAAAGACATTTTTAGATGGTATATGAAAATACAGAAATACATTTGTGCTTTTGAATTTATTCTAAAAAATAAATAAAAATCAACAAAGTGGAGTACTTTTATTTTGGTGCGTAGCTTTGGTGGCTGTGAAAAGCTCAGCTTGACGCAGCTGTGTAGCAGAAAGGCCCAGCCTCCCCTGATTACGCACCAACAGGGGAGGAGGGGGCAGGCTGATGTCCTCTCTGGTGCGCTCATCCAACCTCTGCCGTTGTAAAGCTGCTGTTACCCTGCTGTAAGGATCCGCCGAGATAAAACTCCCCACTTATTTCCATCGAGATCGTCCAAGTTGATCATTTTCCGCTTTGGGGACACATTTCACACCCGTATTACGCATGGAATGGTTTTGGGGGGATTGGAGTAGAAATGCAGCGCCGCACGTCCAGCCCACAACAAGAACCATGCCCAACTTACATTGCAAGCAAATCTATGACATCCTGTTTTATCGTTTACGACTTTGATATGAGAGAAATCTGCTCGGATCTCGACGAAGAGTGAAAGAAAGGATCCCGGCGCGCCGGCTGAAGGACGCTGTTTTCCGCCGCAGAAGCTCCAGAAACCCAACTACACCCCCTCCCCTCAGCATTTAGGATTTTCCTCTTTTTGATGGAGCTGGAGAACATAGTAGCCAACACTGTACTACTTAAAGCCAGAGAGGGTAAGTTGAAGCCGTACAGAAGCTCTAGGTGCAAACAGCAGACAGGCCTATGCAGGCTTTGGGACATTTTGCGCTCAGTATGCAGAAAAGGTGGGAATGATCGCAGAGATGACGGCAGCCTGCGGATTGTAGGCTCAGGTAAACCCTTAGGATGCAGCAGAGAGAGAGGGGGGGTGCTTATGCAATGCATAACAGACAACATCAGCACACAGTCAGGATATGATCCTCTTGAACCTCTAATCATGCTCAAGGATTGATTTTATTCCTCTTGATTTTGACAGATCTGGTGCGCCCCCTGCCCTCCCCCATTACCATATGTGAGGTGGGGTAGGGGTGTCTGCCTCCCACATCCGCTTTCTATGTCTGTGCAAATGAAAGCGCTCTTTCGCAACGCCTCTGAGCGATGAAGCACGTATTGAATCATGGAAATAACTTCTTTCTGCATGGGGGGACACATGGCTGTAGGCTGGATGGTGATCTGATGACGTATTGAAATCTATGCGAGGGGCCTGCAAGGATAGGCTCTGGCTGTCAGAGTGGAAATAGTCAAATATATGCAGCTTTAACAGGTCTGAGATGTTACCAGGGTCCTTTATATCCTCTTTGGACAAGGCAGGCTTTATTCTGGACAAGGGGTGTGAATCTTCTCTTTTGGAGGGATTTGCTTTTACACTTTTATTGTGCAGTGATCTAACTGTTCACCTCCTCTATTGATGGCTGACATCAGCTTTAAAACCATGACTTCCCTCCTCTCTTCTTTACTGGGATGGATTTTGCAATGAGATCACAAACATGGAAATATAAACCAAATATTTAAGATCTAAAAAGGCAGGTTGTCTATATATTTAGATATGTGATTACATTTTTTTTTTCTCAAAATGCTTCATTCATTTAAAATTAAACACCAACACATTCTTAAATCCAGCCTAAAGAAATGTTTAATGGTGTGAATCTACTTCTGTTCAACAGGTCCGTAACTATTTTATATCAGAAGAGCGTCATGTTTTGAAAATTTACCTCAATGGGGAGAAATGTTAACACTTAAGACATGATCTGTGAGAGGAATAAAACGGATAGAGGTTTTTGGCGAAACTCTATTCAGTTTGTTTATATAGCAGAAATTCACAACACGTGTCATTTCAAGGCACTTTACAGAGACAATTTAATCAGATCATACAGTCAAATTGATTAAAAGTTTTCTATCTTCTATCTCTATCACACTAAGAAGGCAAGAAGAAGGAACTATTTAGCCTTTGGCTCGAAACCGCCACTCAGCTTCAGTGCATCAGCCCTACAGTGGAACACGGGGGTGCCAGCATCATGATAGGGGGAATGCTTTTTTAGCAGCAAAGGCAGTGGAGCTGATCAGATTTGATGTCACCTTTGATTGAGGTAAATAGCAAGCCATATTGGAGAAAAAACTTGAGGTTCATTTTCCAGCAGGACAGCTACCCCCACACATATGGAGCTATAGTAGATCCATTTAGTTCAATTCAATAACACTTCATGGTTCCCAAAAGGGAAATGAAATAAAATGTAAGCATTACTGTATGTTAGAAAGGGGAGTGGCGGCCTAGTGGTTAGGGCATGGAATCCAGAGGTTCTGAGTTTAAGCCCCACACCCACGGACTGCCACTCTGGGTCCCTGAGCAAGACCCTTAACCCCACACTGCTCCTTGGGCACCGCACAATGGCAGCCCACTGCTCCCCAAGGGGATGGGTTAAATGTAGAGAGTTCATTTCGTTGCTCTGTCCTAGTCACAGTGAAATGACAATAAAAAGCTTAAAGGTATAGAAATCATTAGTAAAACTTTGGTAAGGCTTAAGAGGTCGGTTTTCACTGATGCCAGTTGTGCAAACCGGCTATAGACCCTTATTATAAAAGTAGTATTTTTCTTCTAAACTTTAGTTATAATAAGACACTTGAGAGGAACAATATTTATAAATTGTGATATTTGCTTCTGGAGGCTGAAACCAACTAATGGGCTTAGAAGCTTCTGAAAACATCTGGGAATGACCATGGCTTTTCCAAAGAAGCGTTTTAAATTCGACTCTGCTGAATGGATCACTCATAACAAGTATGTTGAGGCAAAGCAAGTAATGGGTGCAGCCTATTCTTTGCCCAAACGATGAATGGGCCATTCAATTTGTTATCTGAACATAATTTGAATGAAATGTTTGCTCTGTTTTGGAGCCACATGTTGCTATTTAAATTTCTCATGGCCGTCCTTACTTGTTTTCTGAAGAACAGGGTTAAACAAAATTTTCATGTGGTGTAACATCATTTAGTTCACCGGCCCAAGAGTCTTTTCTGAGTCAAACCCACAAAATTTGTATGATTCTTAAAGGGAGATTTCTGCGATAGACCGGCACAAAGTATTTGTGAAACGCTGAGAAAAGATAAACCGGTTTAGTGCATTTTTTATTTAGGTCAAATGCATCAATGCTGCAAAAGCACACTTTGAAGTTAAGTTTTAGATTTTAACACATCCAGACGATGTAACTAGGGCTGCAACTAAAATAATTTTGCAAATCAATGAATCTGTTGATAATTTTTTCGATTAATCAATTAATAGTCTGATAGCCAAAGATTCCTTAAAGAAGGATTTAAAAAAAAATTAAACCAGGTAAAACTTTTCCAAATTTGGAGTTCTGGATAGAGCATATAGACAGGCGAAATTTTTATTTTTTTTTATCTTAAATGAAAAATGTTTATGTAATTTTTGCAATCTTGGTGAAATTACTGCAATAAGTGGGTTGCTCTGTCAGCTAAAGGCATGTTTTAGACTCTTTATAGTTCAGCTAACAATTAAATGATTAATAAATTCATTTGCGATTGTTTGAATAATGGATGATCTTATATAATCAGGTTTATCAGAACATTAGTCTGTAAGTAGTTCCATCCATTGTTCCAACACCTCTTATCTGGTATCTTGTTCTTACCTGACCCTGTTGAAGAAAAGCTTCCCCACAGCATCCTGCTAACATCACAAGGTCACACCATCTGTACGATGAGGTGTGCTAAATCTCCACAGCACACAGCTTTTTCCAACCTATAATATAATTTATTTTTAGGGTTCCACATCAAAGGCAGCAAAATTTAAATACACAAACTTAACATATTTGTATATGTAAATATTGGGTGAGATCCCGACCACATCGTCTTAGTCTTTCTTAAATTTAGATACTTTAGAATGTGTGGTTATAAGTTGATGATGTAATCTGAAGTGAGAGCATCAGTGCTTCTCTTGATAAGAACCTGCAGGCTGTTCACAGTTTCATTTGACAGTGGTCTCAGTTTAGCTACTCAGTGAGACGGGAGCACTTTTTAACAGCTTTCTCACCTAGAGTTAGGACTTGTCTTACTTTCAGATAATGGTATTCTTCGCAGAGATGGCACAGAGTGTTGTGGAAGTTTTGAAGGAATTGCAAAACAAATGACATGTTGTCAGAGGCACATTTGGGTATGCTCATTTTATGTCAGCGAAGCACAACTGGGCCGGGCGAATCAGGCTTCAGGAATTAATGAGAGCAGTTAATGACCCAGCAGATCTCGCTTGTCCCAGCTGCGCTGTCAGGGTTCACTCCGTCTGCATTCTCGCTGAGATGGAAAAAAAAGCAACCTCTCTGAGGCAATATTTGAAGTTTCTGAGCCGCTTTTTTATCAACGTCTCTAGAAATTCTTCTTGGTAAGACTGCCTCAACTGATTTACAGCCGCCCCTGCCTCACTAAAACATGTTGCAGGTTGTTGCGAGTCCATTACTGGCCGAATGGTTTACCAGTGAGAATCATTAGAGGTTTTGTATTACACGACCCAGAGCCAGTGCTCTGCAGATCCTCTGTGTGCTCAGAGCATCTCTTCGTGTGAAAGCATGACAGAGCACACAGGTTCATCGCCGGATCAACGACCTAGAACAGGCCGGAGAATGCAAATGGAGCAAATAGACGCTGTTTATTCTTGATTGTTTATGCAAGATCATCTCAAGCTGGAGCTGAAGGGAGAGGCAAGCTTTTCCTTTCCCAAAAGCCCCCAGCTACGAACAACAGGAAGGCCCAGTTTACACTGCAGCCTGAGCTTGTTTATGCCAGCATCCTCACACATCCCCAATCAGTAAAACAGTGTGAGTGACAGCTATGCACAGAATTAAAAAGCTACTGATATAACCAGCAGAACAGGCGTTCTGTCAAATAAGTGATGCTTCTCAGATCTGCAGTACTGTGAAAAGATACCACCCCCCCTTTTTATCACATTTGAATGTCTCAGATCATGAAGCAGTTATTCACTTCAGACAAAGAAAACTCAAATGAATGTGAAAAGCAGTGTTCAAATGCTGATTTTGTGTAACCTGGCACTATTTGAAGCTATAATCGCCATCATTGTTTAATGGTTATTTACATATAATTAACATCATTGTGGTTTTATTTTACTCACCCACCCTTGATCATTGCCAAGCCCGTAAAAAAGAAACCAAAATCCAAACCATTATGCCAGAGTATGAAGAAATTAAAGGATTATTATGAAAATAAAATCAATAAGTCTTTTTTAAAGATTTGGGACGCTGAGGAACTGTTCAAAAATAAAGAGAATACATGAAATGGAGTTGAAAGTTCCCACCACTAACAAAAGGACTCCAATATCATATTTACAACTCAACAAGAACAAAAGAGAGAAGAACTTTTAACACAGTGAAGGGCTCATATCCCTCAGATAAGAACAGGAATGGAAAAAAAACTACTTTTATAGGAGACTTCAAAAGCCCCAACCCCAGCAGGCCAGAAGAAAACAAATCCCCGTCTCGTATTTGATTAAAAACACTCTCTGAGGCTTTATATTCCAAAGTGTGTGTAGAGTTACGCCCGGCGTAAAACTAAAAGTGTTAAAAAAAAAGAGGGGGATCATACTGACTGTCAAAAATGGCACTAGTGAAGTATTCTGCTGTAATATTTGGATGAATTTTAATAGTTAACTGAACTGTGACTTTTTCCTCTCTACCAGAAA